TGTGTGTGACAGTGAGAGAGAAAGAGAAGGCAGGAGTAGGGAGAAAAAAAAGCAGCACATACACAGGCACAGGCAGCATGGTGCCCCCGGGGCGAGGTAATGAAAAATTCCACATGTCACTGCCATGACTGGTTAATCGACATACAGTGACACAGAAAGAAAGAGAGAGATGGGGTGGAAAGAGGGTGAAACTGGCAGTACAGCATCAAATAAAAGAGAAAAGACAACAGTGAAAAAGGCGTATGGCAGGAAATATGAAAGTGGAGCTGTGGATGGGAGATTTGAGAAGAGGATACAGGTGTGATCAACACTGTGGAACAAAAACATTGTTCCTCCTCAGCTTTATCAGAAGGATAGGAGGGAAACAGCTTCAGTTTCACGAGCTCCAAAACTGTTTCTCTGCTCGAAGCGTTCCCAGGAATCATGTCATCCTGCAACTGAAGTGGAAACATGAAATTCCTCCGTTGCAGAATGAAAAGAGAGTGCATGTGATTATTTGCTCCTTTTGGTTTCAGGTGAGTGTCCTGTCTCAACATGTTCCCAGGAATGTGACATAACCTGGGGATGATATGTGCGTGCACAGAGGTGTGGACATTAGAGCAACTGAGTAGAGCTGTCAAGACAAACAAACAGAGCAGTCAAGTACAGTTTTGCTTTTGAGAGCAGCATTCATGGATTTAACTGCATTGACATTAACGTTATTACTATCAGCGCTCAGCTGTTCAGCTGGTCTGTGCCAGAACAGAAAATCAGTGGCACATGTTTGCTTTATTACTGCTGCCCTCAGGGCCAAACTGGCTGTGAGACCCACTGTATGGATCCAGAGCAACACAGCTGGAAGGGTTTTTAATGTGTTAAGATTCGTGAGGAGAGGAATATAAAGATTCAGCCCGAAAATGTTTTCATCTTTTTTTTTTTTATTGGCAGGTTCTTTGATTAGTTAACGGTGGAGAATATGATCGCACTTACACACTGGAACATTGGTGGAAGAAGTACTGACGTCCTTTTCTTAAATACAGGTACCAGTACAACAGTGTAAAAATACAAATCAGAATCCTTCATTCAAAAAGAATATGCATGTAATAAGGAAGTAAAAATGTTCATAATCCAGAAAGAGTAGTAGCCCAGTACAGTGGTTCCCAACCTAGGGGTGGGGCCCCTCCAGAGGGTCCCAAGATAAATCTTAAGGGACGTGAGATGATTTATGAGGAATCTGCTACGCACATTTTTATTCATTTTTTAACTTCTCTAATCTTTATTTTTTTGGAAAGCAACAAGGTTGGAAACAAAAGTCTCATAAACCAAAGTTTCTCCAAGCAAAGAGACACGAAGAAGACGTAAAAGGGAAAAAGACGTAATGATGATGAAATAAAAAAAAACATGACAGTAAAAGATATCAAGAAACTGCATTCATTATCTCAAGATTAAATGAATCTTGCACATGGATAGACATACAAAACATAACAACAACAAGCTGTCTGCATTTACTAATCCTCCTAATATGTCTTATCACTTTTTTTAATAGCTATATACAATGAGACAAATGGATACTATAGTGTCATACATTATGTTATTTATGTCCTCTTTTTTTCTTCTCTCTTTCTTACACCCCCCCCCCCCCTTTTTACCTCCATACCTCAATTGTCTTAATCCTTAAACTAAGTTAGCTAGAAGAGAGGTAAAAGAAAAAAATAAACCACAAGTCTATACACTCTATAAATAATTCTAAAATGGTCAGCCTTTCCATTCCATATATTTCACATGTCATATTTCCCATTCTTCACTTCATAGTACCTCCAGATGGAGCCATTTTCTAGTCAAGGTTGGGTCTGCAGTTGTTGTAAGATTATCTGTCAACTAACCTAAACACATATCTAAAGGAATGATGGATTTACATTTGATCAACCAGCATTTGTGGATTTCTTGACAATAAAAGTTTGGGGCATTACCAAACATATGTGATAGTGATTGGCCTCATTAGCGCCACACAATCTCCAGCAACAGAAAGAAATTAATATAAATTATTATTTTTCCACACAAATTTCCTGAGCTTTCTTTCACATAAATGGCGCAGTTGCATTAAAAGGCTTTGATTATACATTATAAATCTTTGATCGGGGAATAAAGTCAGAATTATATGTTCTCTCTGCTTTATTTAGATTTATTTTTTTCTTCTTCTTTTTTATTTATCCAGATAGTATTTCTGTATACCATCTCAGGCTGCTTTGAGTTCAATTTAGCTGGTGCTGCACTGTTGAGAGGGAGGCTATACTTTCAGTACATATTGTTATAGTACATGTTTTGAATATTTAGAGGTTGAGTCTGTCGCTCCTGACAAAAGGCATCTTATATAATCTTGTTGTTTCACGGTTTCAACATGGAGCCCTCCTGTCACGTCCCACCCACTGAATTATCACACTGCTGTTCAGTAAAACCCAAGAAACACTACAGGATTTTCTTTTTTTCTAGTATTTTATTTGAAACTCTTTTATTAATTTTTTACATGTAATCGTGTGATTTCAGGGATGGCACTTTAAAGCTGCATTCATGATTGATCACCAGCAGAGGGCGCTACAAGTGCACATCAGCTGCTGAGCTGTGAATCATATTCAGAGCTGACATTTTGTGACTCTTCCCGACATCCTCATTAAAGCAAGAAGCGGTTGCTTTAGTGAAACACCAGATGGCGCCGCACAATGAAGCTACAGAGCACTGAGAAAGTGTCAACTACTTCCAATCTCTCTGCACCCTACACCGTGATGTGCTTTTGTTATGTTTGCTTGCAAAAAGAAAGAGAAGCTCCAAAAATATTTCTGTTAACTTGTTTATTTGACCCGGCCTCACTTCTACAGCCTGCAATTCATGCAGAAATAATACAAACCTCTCAGGCTCAATCACAAAAGCTGACCTGATTTAGATCCTTGAGAAATTACTTTTACATAACACATCGATAGATTTGGTATTAAAAGGCTGTATTTCTGTAGTAATTTCCTGTCAGGTCACGAGCTGGGGCCAATCAGCCCTGAGGCCTCAGCAGTTGGATCAAAACATGGGATTAAGCTGTTACAGAGGCATGACTCTCTGTGCTCCCACATCTCTGAGAGCATGCAGGGAACCCATGACCCCCCTGTTACATCATGAGACACATGGTTCTGAAGCCCAAAGGCTATAGATGAGCTCATGACATCAGGAACACTAACAAATGATGTTTTCTACCATGAGTCCTTATTTTTAGCTCATTGTAGAGACCTTGATGAGTTTCCACTGTGGCCCCCCCGAGGGGGAAGCTCATACTGTCACACAAATGGTGTAAATATATTAAGCTACATTTCACACATTTTTTTCACATTGTAGGCTGTCATGGTGTACTCTTAAGTTGTAAATACACACCAGTGTAGACACAGACATACACACACACTCCAGTAACCCACTTTCCTGCTATACTGACTCCTTTAAGTCACTACTACTACTTTGCGGCTGAGAGTGGGCCCCTGGTCGCTTCCTGTGTCACTCCCTCGTACACACATTCACACACACATATTTGCTCTCTCGCTGCCACTGCTACATACATAGTAACGCCACGTAGAATGAGAACGCTCATACATGGTCACATATACCTCAACGTAAGTAAGGATTGAAGCTCTACATTCATGTGCTAAGAAACTGACCTAAAGAGGTTCAGCCAGACAGAACTGAGACATTATTCGGGGCCATAGAAGCCGGGCACTTCCCTTTGCCTCTCCCGCCCACACCAGCACTGGCCACTGCAGGCTCACTGTTCCAGATCATAACTCCAAGGAATCTAATCCTGATATGTAACCCCCACCCATACATACTTCAATCAGGAATGAAAGAACTGCATCTCTCCCTGGCCTCATTACAGACTGACACTCAACTATCTGTCCTGACAACCAAATCTGAGCAGTTATTGCACAAATAAGATCAGATTGGAGGAAAATCGCATTGGAGGTATTTGTGCCAAAGATATTATGTTTTTGAAGCTACACCAAAGAGATAAAATCTCAAACTGAGAAGTAACAAAATACTGAACAGAGACCTTTTAGATTAGATGCAGAAAATAACCAGTATGGTAATTTTTCTGGTCTTTCACAAATCTTTATTCAATGAAGAACTGAAACAAGCCGGTACAGAGTAGATCATACTGTCTTGTGACATTAAAGGAGTACTCCAACAATTTAATATCGCACTTTCATAAAGTTGGGGGACTCCCAAGAGACAGATTAAAGAAAGAATGGTAACAATCAAAGCAGCAGAAGCTGTGATATTCTGACTTTTAGTCCCTTGTATGGGTCAAGCTCCAAAAAATCCTACAAAGAATCCTACAATTCCCAAAGTTGAACACAATAGTGTCTTTCATTTTAAGCTGCCTGTCACCTGAATAACCATACCTCCACTTTGTAATGCAGGCTTTCTGTTAATGATTTTAAGCCAAATCTGAGACAACCCTGATGACATCATCATGACATCGACAGGGTTATTTTATTTATTTAGCCACACAAGACATTTTACAGACTGTTTAGTACTCCCTGTGGAAAGAGAACTGAACGTTATATGTAAAAAGAGTGTGCATCTGAGATAGGATCAAGTGAAGAGAGCTGAACTCCCAAGTGTTCACTGGAAACTCAGTCATCCCTGTGGTATCCTTCACATCACATACTGGCCAGGCTGGAAAACACCAACGTGCTGAGTGCACATGACTTCATACTTTCCAGTTTACTGCTCAGTGAGAGCCACCAGTATGCAATGTCCAGTTCCAGTATTTCAGCATACAGAAGAAGAAGAAGAAGAAGAAGAAGAAGAAGAAACATAATGACCCATATTTTATAATTTCCTTCATCTCCCTCCACTCCCTTTTCTATCATTCTCTCCACTGACAGTTTCACGCAGTCAGACAAAACACACTGCTGCATACCTTGGAAATTGTACCTCTGCCCAGCTGGCCCTGTTACCATTGATACCATGG